ATAAACAGGGGGAAAAAAATTAAGTGGTGATATTGGAGAACGTGATCTACCACAGAAACCTTCTCTCACTGCTCCAGGCGAGGATTATTGACTACAAATAGGTCATCCCTGAACAGCGACTGTGGAGTCCTTCCAAACACAACCACAACTCACAGCCCAGCACAATCACCACATTTACATCACAAAACACGAGCAGATTAAAAAAAAAACCAAACAACGAAAAACACAAAACCCTTCCTATCCTGACTTAGGGATTTTAAATATTTTAAAGGGAAACTCCAGTCTCCGGTTACATAATTGCCCTGCCCGGGTGCCTGCAGCGCTGCCTGCCAGCCCTCCCTGCGAGGAGAAAAGCTGCAGGGCTGCAAACTGGCAACTCGGGGTTTAAAATTTAAGCTACCAGCGAGCACGTTCTCTGACACAGACATTTAAGTGTCCATTAAAAGAGGTGGATTCTTCACAAACTGACCTCCTGCCACCCGGAAGCAGCTGACAGAGTAACCAGCCTTTTACATAACTGGGAGCTGACGGGCGGGAGAGAAATCCCTGAGAAAATCTGCATGTCTGAGGTAGCACTGAGGCACAAAGGGAACGGAGCAACCTCTACACAGTACTACAAACCCTTCTCTTTCCAAAATTATTCCAGTATTTCATCAAACCCGTTCCTAACTATCAGCAGTAATTCCCGAGTTTCACACAAGAGCCCTCCATAAGCCTATTTTCAGTCTAAATAGGCCTGTTCCTTCTTACCAACTATTCAGTTCCTCTCTAATTACCTACTTACTACTGGTAATACAAACTCCAGGTTCCAGCTCCAAACCCCTTACACACAGGCTGCCTCTGTCCCCAGCAGCATGGAGCCCAACAAAGGAATGTCCTTAACTCCAGAGGACAAAGCAAACTCCTATCTATGGCAACATCAAATTTCAGGGAGTGAGGTTTCACTACATGAATTTACTTTCACTTCCCTCAAAAAGCGGATGTCCCGTGGTGTCTGTGTGAAACCAAGGGCTGAGGGTGTGTGAGATTTCCAGTAGCCAACCCCATTCCAAAGGGGTCACGCGCCAAACCCTCACGTGACGTTCGGGAATTTCAATTCGCATCCTGAAATGCTGGAGAACGAACAAACCCAGCAGACAGTGCACAAAAACCAGTGTGAAACTTCGAGGACCGGCCAACCAGCGGGGCTGCACGTTATTCCCAAGGTGTCCCAGGGGATGAGCGTGTCACCCGTCTGATCCACTGGCAGCAGTTTCATAACCTGCCCTCGAGCGCCCGGCTGCTGCTTCAACTGTTACACTCTGATTTCTCAACCCATTATCCACCCTCAGTCTCCCAGGCCTTTATTTTACAGCCCGAGCTATAAAAACATTTCACTCTTGTTTTTTGATCCTTGTCATGAATTAATTTAAAAATAGTTCTAATTTTTACCCAGTGCAATATCCTCCTAAACGACGACAGCTCACCCCAAGAACCCTGGTGCTTGTATGTTTTTTGGACTGCGCGGGTCCACAGTTTTATCCTAAGCTTTAAAGTGCTGCTTTTCTCCCAGCTGCAGTTTAAATCTTCTCTAAAAGCCAAATCTAAAAATGGAGATCACACAAAGCAGTATTTTATGTACAGCCCAGATGAAAGGTTACTCCTCTTCTCTCCTTCACAGCGTCTCTCTCGGGCATTTAGTGCTGATTTGCTTCTCTGACCAAAGATCCTTTAATCAAAGGAACACAGATCCTCAATTACACATCTCAGATAATCAGACATTTCATTCCTTTCTCCCTGAGAAAGTTTCCACCCAAGCTGACCTTGTCCCTATGATCACACACCAGGACGGAACATCAGCTCCACAATTCCCACCAATGAAGCAGCAAAAGCTGTTTCTGAAGAGTTTATAACCACTATGAAAGTTTCATTCTGCAGCTCAATGTTTGAATGTAAGCACTCCAAAAAGGATTATGGCACTTGCAAAGCCCTCAGTGGACTTCCAGAGTCTTCATATCTGCTGATAAGAACAGTTTAGACTCATTTCTTCCAGAACTAACCTCCACAAGGAATGACATTTTCAGTGTTGCTACTTTGGCTGAGTAAGCTCCAGAGGACGTGTCAGCCAAGAGCAACATCACCACCTCAGGTACCACGTTCTTCCCTCCCAAGATGTGCATTTTGGGTTCAGTAATCGAGAAAGGCTTTAGGACAGCGCTGCATCAGCCACTGGCAAAGATCAATGGTTGCACTGCTCGAGCTAGAGTTACAAGGTGACAGAACCGTCCCAAGAGGCCCTTCCTAAAAGGTGCCACTTTCTATAAAAACCACCCAAACCACAGCTGTGGGGACTGAAAGCACAGTGCCTCTCACTGCGGAACGAGCACAAGCGCCCTCAAAACGCTCCACTCTCAAACAACACTTAAACCACATCCATTTGTGCCATTGGAGCGTTATAAATAATTCAGGAGTCCTAAATTTCCAATCTTGTGCTCCATAACAAACCAATGACAAAATAACCTGCCAGTGACTCCTCTGGCTTTCACAAAGAGCTTGGTGTGATGAGCTCCCTTTTTAACTGGGGTTTTCAGCCGCCGCTGTACATTTCTAGCCTACTGTATTTTTGTAAAAAGCCACGTACGTCAGCATTGTGACAAAATAACCTGTAAACTGCTAAAAGGCTCAGAGTCCGCGGGAGGTGTGGGGGGTGTCACAGGCCCCCCTCCGCCCGGGTCCGCGCTCGCAGCTGCTCACCAGGGGTCGAGACCCCGCGATCCCCTCAGAGCCCCCCCACCCCCGGGGGGGACACTCACCGTCATTCCCGCCCAGCCCGCTCCGCAGGGCCCGGCCGTCCTCGCGGGGCCCGCTCACCGCGGCCGGAGCGGCAGGGCCGGGGCCCGGCAGCCGCGCGGGGGATGAGCCCGGCGGCCGCCCGCCCGCCGCCGCCCCCCTGCCTTTCCTCCTGAAGAAGGACATAGCGCCGGGGAGGGGGGGCTCGGCGGCCGGCGGGCCGGGGGAAGGCGGGAGGCAGGGAGGGCGCGAGCCGGTCCCTATGAATGGGGCTCCTGCCCCCGCCCGCCACCACCGCTCCCTCCGCCTCTTCCTCCCGCGGCGGCGCCCGCGGCCGCCATGTTGTCAACAACCGCCCCGCGCCCACTTCCGCCCAGCGCGGCCGCGCGGCACGGCGGGACGCGCCCGCACTCAACATGGCCGCCGCGGCGTCGGGCGAGACGGCCAATAGGGGAATTGCTCGTGGCGGCCATGTTGGGTGAGGGCAAGCAGCCCGCGAGGGTCCACAGCGGTGAGGGAGGGGAGGTGGCCATCTTTGATCAGGGCTAGGGGCGCTGGGCCGGGGGAGGCGGGGGCTGCCATCTTGGTTGAGGGCACAGGTGACCTGGGGACGCTGCGGCAGCTCGGGCGCGTCCCGTGGGCGCGGGTGACAGAGAGCCCTGAGGGCAGGGGACAGTGGTCCTGAGGGCAGGGGACAATAACCCTGAGGGCAGAGGACAGTGGTCCTGAGGGCAGTGGACAATGGTCCTGAGGGCAGGGGAGAGCCCTGAGGGCAGGGGACAGTGATCCTGAGGGCAAGGGACAATGGCCCTGAGGGGAGGTGACAGCGGGCAAGTGTCATAGCAGGGCCACGAGAGCCAAGTGCCCTGCAAAGAATCTGGAGACCTCTGAGATGTGGCCCAAAATGTCCCCTTTGGCCACAGAGGCTGCAGCAGAGGGGACGGACACGGGGATGGATGGCCAGCCCTGGCCCCCATCCGACCCCTGCCCAGGGTCTGTGGGCTCTGCAGCCCCAGCTCTGGTCCCTCATGCCAAGGGCACATCGTGGCCCCAGTTGGTGCCTCGTTTGCTGCAGGAATGTGGCAGCTCCGTCATTCCATCCCAAACCACCCGGACACACCAGAAATCCCTGCCAGGCTGCATAGCGCCCGTCAGGACGTGGGGACACTGCCGGGTCCTGGCAATTGCTGTCTGATAAGTCAGTTCCGTCTGCGTCCCGGATCCTGCCACAAAAATCCTCTTAATTATCCTCCCGAGGCAAATCTGCTCTTTCCTCAGCCACCAAGGACGTTTGTCATTATAACTCAGCACTCAGGTTGATCTCTGAGGAGCAGAGCTCTCATATAAATGCTTTGAAAACACTGTATAAAGACTGTTATTATAAATTCTGGTTTGTGTATGAGGAAACTGAGACACGGACCCAGAGAGCAGCTCTCCCCAAACCATACAGCTCCACCTGATCCTTGCAGCAAACCATCCAGCCTTTTCCTGGGAATCTGCCGTGAGTGCCATGAACTCCAGCAATGGTGAGAAGGGAGAGACACAAACTGAGTCGCTTTCCTGTGGGATTTAGTGCTCCGTACCAGGCAGGAATTACCTTTCCAAGCATACAGCTCTCAGCCCAGTTCCTCTGCAAGGTGTTTTATGCCACGACATTTCTGGGCTCGATCCCCAGGACCTTGTTCCATGGGCCCAATTAACAAAACACCACGAGAATCCCAAAACAATCCCTGCAGGAGGTGCAGGGATCACAGGAGGCAGCTGCAGCTCTTCCTCTGCCATCCCCCTGTCACCCCTCTGCCATGTAACTGTCCTGCCCTCGGTGCTTGAGCCACGAGAAAATGATGTGATTAATAATCATTACGAAAGTTCCTGCACCATCTTTCACCCAAGTGTTCCAAAGCTCTTTACAAACACTCAGTAATTAACACTCATAAATTGTAAATTGCATAAAAGGTACATGGGGATCTTCCAGGGCTGGTCTGGAGCCGTCTCTTGGGCAGGATAGTGCAGCTGATCAACACCCTGTAGCAACTGCATTTTCTCTTTTGATATTATTTTTGTTAACTGATGCTCTTTGATACAGTTTTGTACACGTGCCCAGAGGCTGGTTGGGGGATAATGAACTATCCTATATGGTTTCTGCATAATGAATGGAGTTATTTAATTGGCACATAACCTAAGAGACTGCTAGTAGACTAAAACATTCAAAACATGAGCAAATAGGAAAGAATGGGATGACTCAGGGAACACTGAATTAACAGCCTCTGTCAAAGAAATTTGCACCCACTCCTCTTGGATTTCAATGCTGGGTTGAAGAAGAATGCAGTGATTTACATCCTTTTCGGTGGGTGAATTGCAGGCATTGCTCACCCCACTTGGTGAGGAAAACCTTCTATGTAACCTTCTATGTTGCAACTCATTTTCAAGCAGCAGCTCCTTTTCCAAAAACCTCATCCAACCTGTCAGAGTCTTGGGGATAATTCAATTTTCTTTGCATCAGATTCTGGATAACTGAGGAAACCTCAAGATATGAGGGTCTGACATGAATTACCTTTCCTGGATTAAAATTTTCTCCCTTTTCTGGGAATGTGGAGAAGGGCTGAAGCTCCAATCTGCTGTTGGTCACTGGAGATCTGAACTGGAAGAGTGAGTGACAGCAGGTTCCGGAGTCTTTAATAGCACGTGAGAGTTTAATTGTCTGAGCAATCAGCTGAAACATGACTTCAGGACATGGGTTGGCCAATGTCAGAGAAGCTGAGGGACTCCTCCCTGAATTAAAATATTCAAATAAAAAGCCTCCCTGCCTGGTGATTTTTCCCTCTCCACAGCTAGAAAAATAAACAAACTTTAATAAGATCTAAATGGAGCAATCTTGTTTGGACAGAACTAATAAAGCAGAACAAGACTTTGGCGTCTTTGACGTGGGTAATTAATCACGGGGAACTGCCCTGCTCAGTTACAGCACAAAAACACAAATGTAACAAATCGTGTTAGAGGCCATTCCCATTTCTCACATCTGTGGGACAGTCCATTTGTTTACATGTATTCACATGATGCTGAGATTCTCTCTCACATTTAGACTTCTCACTACTTTGGGAATACAAATAATAAAAACTGTATGACTAAGGGCTTTAACAGCCGAGATCTTACTCTGGAATCAGTAATAATGCCCAAAATATATAAGGAGTCAAAAATGCCTTTGTACAGAAACACACTAGAGCTTAAAACCCATATATTCCAAACATTGCCATTGGAACTGTTAAAAAATAATACAATATTATTTCAAACAAATAATCAGACATCTTGCAAAATAAGCAATACAGGCATAATCACTAAGAATCCAAGAATAAGTGGTGGGGAAGAGTGGGAAAGATGCAGCACAGACATATATTTGTGCACAACAGGATGCTGGGGAAGCTGGAAAATGAAGAAGAAGGAACTGATACATCACAGCAGGGCTGCTCCGAAACTGCAGTCTCAGCAGCTTCAATTACAGACTTATATTTTTCTCCTTTTTATTTTTTTTTTAAATGGGAAAACAAGTGTCTGCATGCACATACAGAATTCCCAGCAAATTTGGATGTGGCTGACCTCAGTCCATGGGAACAGGAGGGTTGGTACCGGCTTCTCAACTCTGCTGGGGATTTCAAAGAAGGGAATTCTCCCAGTCCCAGCCTGGAAAAAAAAAAAACTGGTTTCATTAAAACATTGCAACTCCTCCTTGTCTCCTTCCACTGAGCACATGCCCGAGCAGGGAGGTTTGTTCCTCCATGTCTGGTGGTTGGGCACAAGCAAGGGGTGACTCTCAGTGGGTGAGTGGGTGGGTTAAAACTTGAGGTTTGAAGCGTAAAATGGTGGGGGGGAAAGGGGAAAAACAGGCTCAGTCCCAGCAGAAAGAGCTGCTGGAGATGTGCTGGGCAGCCGAGCTCTGGGGAAGGAGCACTGAGCAGGAGCAGAGACAAATAGAAAAGCCCTCACACACCAGGTTCTGAGCCATTCCCCAGGCTGCTCCTGCAGCAAGGAAGCCTTTTCTGCAGGGCTTTAGTGCCACTCCGGAATTATTCTGAATTAGTGAGAACAAAGCAGCTTGTTCCCACCTCCGCTCTGCCCACATGGAATTGCCAGAGCTGTGCGGGACTCACCTCAGATGACCTTTCTCCAATCCGCCTTGTTTTTCCCAAGTTCTTGGCCATTCTACGGTGTCCTAAATACTTGAAAAACAACAATCCAGTTTAAATGAAAAGTTAAAAAAATAGTAATCTAGTTTAAGACCATTTTCTGTGTTTCCCCTTTTTATTTTCCCCTCTTTGTTTTTCTAAATGCCTCAAGGAGTACAAGAAGTGATGCAGCACATGGCAGCTCTCGGGTATTTCTGCAACCCAGGGATATGGGGAAAAAACAAGGCTGAGTGTGGTTTTGTCCGTTCAAAACTCTCGTGGAAGTCACAGGACAAGCAGCATCCCCATGGAGGATGTCCCACAGGACAAGACACACCCCCGTGAAGCCCAAACGCTGCATCCAGACAGAACCGCGGCGCGTTATCCCGGAGGTTGTGCCCGTGAACTGAGCTGGAAGTGCGGATGATTTGCCATCGGTTCGCTCCCGGGGCAGCCCGGCTCCTGCCGCAGCACTCCGGGCGCACACCAGGAGAGGGTGCCAAGCCCCCGGCTTCTGCTGCCGGGAACCGCACGGGCTTCCCAGCACCGCCGGGCTCTGAGCCCTCTCCAAAGGCTGCAACTGAGACACCAAGCAAAGCACCCCGGATCTGAAGCAAAACCTTCTTTTTAACAAAAATACCTTTAACTGTTTCAGCGGTGTCGGCGGTTAAGTGCCTCAAACACGGCTGAGGACGTTCGGGCGGGATAAAGATATTTTTTGCTATATTAAGAAAGGATTTGGCTTTTTTGGCTTGCGGCTGATGGACGTGAGTCCGCTCGGGGGGACAGCTGAGCTTCTGGAGGTCGAGAAAACCCCGTCAGATCTGCGAGGCGTAAGGACAAGACATCAATTCCTGCTGCACAGCGACAGCGACCAGGAGGTTTAGAAGGAATAAAACCTGATCCATGAAGTTTCAGAATGACTGTTGTAAAAATCCATCTGCACTGGGAGGCGCAGCTTTTACACCTAAAGTAAGCGCAGGCTCCCGGGCAGCCGCTTTGCCTCGCTCTCTCCCCACTCTGCCCCCAAGACTTTGGAGAAACCTGCGGGATTAAGGGATAGAATTGACATCGCTCAAAGCGAGCAGCCCCCGAGCAGATCTCCCTCCCACGGAGGAGCCGCCGACCCCGCGTTTTTAAATCCCCCCCCCGGTGACACCTGGGCTGCGAGAAACCCCCCGCAAACCCTCATTCCCCACGCGTGTCCCCGTCCGGGATCGCAGCGGGCGCGGGGCCGCAGCATCGCCGTCCGCGGGCACTGGTGGGGGGAGCGTGCGTGTGTTAAAAACATCACCGGCAACCGCAGGAATAAAACGACTCTTTAGCGGCCGCCCCGCAGCGAAACGGCGTAAAACAGCCCAAAACCGTGCGCGCAGGTGACCGCCCCGGGATTCCCCCCGCCCGCCGCGGGTGTCGCAACCGCGCCCGTGCTCAGCCGCGCCCCGCGGGGCGGGCGGCGCAGGCAGCGCGCAGGCAGCGCGCAGGGGCGCGGGCAGCGCTCCGGCCCCGCGCCCGGCCCCGCGGGCCGCCCCGCGCCGCCGATGCTGTCGGTGCCGGTGCCGGTGGCGGGCGCGGGGGCGGCGCGGGGCGCGGGCTCCCAGCCCCGCCGGCGCACCATGTGCAGCGGCGTCGGCTGCTTCTGGGCGCTGCTCTCCGCCGGCCTCCTGGCCGCCTGCGCCGCCGCCTTCCTCTCCCCGGCCTGGCTGCTGCCGCCCGGCCGAGCCGCCGCCGGCTTCGGGTTGCTCTGGCGCTGCGCCGGCCCGCCCCGGGGCTGCCACGGCTCCGCCGGCCCCGGCGGCTTCGGAGACATCCCCTCCGGTTCCTGGCAGGTGAGCGCCTCCCCGCCGCGGCACCCCCCACCGCCTCCCCCGGGCTCCCCGGCATCCCGTGTCACCTCCCCGGCATCGCGCCTGCCCTTCCCTGGATCCCGGGCATCTCCCATCACCGACCCGGCATCCCCCCCTGCCTGCTTCGGGCTCCCTGGCATCCCCCGTCACTTCCCCGGCATCCTCTGTCACCTCCCCGGCATCCCGCCTGCCCTTCCCTCGGCTCTCTGGCATCACCCATCACCTCCCCGGTATCCCTCCTGTCTGCTTCGAGCTTCCCGGCATCCCCAGAATTCCCCCGTGCCTGGTTCGGGTTCCCCTGCATCCCCCATCACCTCCTCTGCATCCTCCCTTGCCTGCTTTGGGCTCCCCAGCGTCACCCCGTCACCTCCTGGCATCCCCCCAGACCTGCTCCAGACTCTCCAGTATCTCTTGGTCTTCCTCACGTCCCTGAGGACCCCCTGTCATCACTCCAGCATCCCCTGTCCTGTCCCCCAGACGTGTTCCAGCATCTCTGTCCTGCCCTGAGCATCCCAGGCATCCCCTGCATCCTCCACGCTGCCTTCGAGCATCATCTGCATCTTCCTGTGCTGCTCTCCAGCATCCCTTTCATCCCCTGCATCCCCCCATGTCCTTCCTCTGAGCATCCCCTCAGCACCCCCTGGGTATCCCACGGTCGCTGTGGGGTCACATCCCACTTTGGGATGCCTGGCTGTGCTTGGGGTGCTGCATGGAAGCCTCATGTTGGTGTGGGGGTCAGTGCAGCCCGAGTGAGGCCGTGGGCACGTCCTGGCTGTGCCACAGGTCTGACCTGGCCACCCCGCCCTGCCGGGGCCTCCTGTCCCTCTGACCTGCCTGGGCAGGTTCCTGTGGGAGGGAGGGAGTTGGGGGACAAGCTGGAGGGGTTTTGGTGCTTGCCAGCAGGGTATTGAGCATCACTTGCTGGCTGAGTTTGCTGAGCAGGAGGTGGCTGAAACCGCTGCCCCTGGGACACGCGGATCCAGAAATCGAGCCTGGACGGGGGGCACTGTGGTTGCCCCCTGCCCAGCTCCCCTGGGTGATGCTCTTACCAGGTTTTGGGAGGAAGGAGGCCAAGGCCTCCCTGCTTGTCCTGTGGGGCCTGGGGTTGTCGTGGTGTCCCAGGGTGACAAAGAACTGCCTGTCACACTGGGACCACACAAAGCCTGGTCCCAGTATCCCGCCCCCTGCTTGCCCCTGCCCTTTCTTCCTCCTCTCCCTTCATTCTTAGCTTCTTACCCCGAGGTCGTGAGTGCGATTTCACTGCTGCTGCTCAGAACACACAAGCTTGGACTTCCTCCAGATCACAATACAGGGCAGCATCCCCAAGAGGTCGTGGCTGTGCCTGGCACAAAGGGTGTCAGCAGCTGGGGTGCTCAGCCTGCCGTGGAGCTGCGCTGTTATCTCTCCCAGGACACCGGGTCTGCCTGTGGTTGCTTAAATCCCATCACGGTCCCTAAAATTGGCATTAAAGACAAATATTGTGAATTGCAAAGAAAAGAACCAGCTGTATAAACTCCTTCCTATTTATATAAAAAGGTGCAAAAATGCTCTTGTTTCCATGGGCTGGCCTTTGTTCAGATGTTTTTGCAAATGTGATGCAGATAAACACTCCCAAGTAATAACAAACTTTAAAGATAACGAAGCTCAGCAGTGACTCATTTGAACAAGCTTCAGCCTCTGAAAACACTGACATCCAGAATACAAAGTAGTGCAAAGCCTCTGAGCTTGGGCTGTGGAAGGATGAATATCACAGTACTGAGTGGAGTTTACAGGGGATTTTGGTGACATGTCCATGTCACTTTTATTAATACCGCCCAGATAATTAATGAACAACAAACCGTGCAGTGGCTTTCAGAGGAAAGTGCTCCCCTACCAGCTTTCTGCCATGATGACTGTGGGAATACCTGTTGTGATGGTTATTTGATGGGGTGGAATATGATAAAATATCCCTGACAGCTTTGCTGAGGCAGGTGACAGCTTTGGCTTTCTTGCATGAGCAGCCTCCAAGCCCACACGCCTCGGTGCTCAGGACGGGGGGAGCTGAGTGCTGGGAACCCTCTCCACGAGTTCGAGCAGGAGATTCTCCTTTTTGGAGAGATGGGGAAATTGTGGCTCTTTTTTTCTTTGCTTTCAGGACTGTGGCATTCATTTCCAATCTTTCAAGCAATCTGGTGGGCAGCTCCTTTTTTAAACGAAAGCCACGAGCCAAACATTGACAGGAATCCATTGACAGGAATCCGGGAGCTTCTGAAAACTGCCCCCAGCGTTTGCTGAAGTGGCAGAGGCTGGTGAGGAGGGTGTGAGCTGTGGCTGTGGCTGGCAAAGGGAGCAAAAGGTGACACAGGGTCAAGAGTTCTTCTAGAATGAAGCTGGTGGCACATCTTGGGGGATGCTGAGAGCACACCTGGGAAGGATGCTGAGAGCACACCTGGGGAGGATGCTGAGAGCACACCTGGGGAGGATGTCCACCTGCAGCACACGGGGTGGGCACAGCCCACAGCCGGGGTGTCCGTCCCTGGGGAACGTTGTTCTTTTTGTTTCCTGAAACGTGCACGTTTCCAGCGGTTTCCCTGCTCAAATGTGCCGATTTGTTGAAGGGCTGGGGGAGCCGTTCAGTCCTGCAAATGATCGTTAATGCCGTTTGTGTGTGTGCACTTGGGGGATTATGTTAATCATGCTACAAATGATGCTTTGAATCATGTCTGGAGGTTAATTAACAAGCCTTTCTTCTCTTAAGAGGGCCTTCACGTCTGCTTAGAGTTGCTGGCTTTTTTTCTGCTTCCTTTCATAATTACTTTGCAGCTCTCTAATATCATGGGTACCTTTAATTTAACCCTGTCAGTGCTCAGGCTGCTGAGGCTTTGCACCGTGCTCAGCATCATGATGGTTATTTGATGGATTAGAATATAATAAAATATTCTCTATGACTGGAGATGTTGAGGATAGGCTGAGACCATGCAGGAGCTGATGGGAACTGGAGAGGGTCTGGCTGGAGCCAGGTGAGGAGAAAGGATGGTGAGATTGCCCAGCCAATTTATGAGTGAGGCCCTTACACAGACAATTAATGGAAAGGAGGAAGTCCTGGAGCTGTGAGGGCTGGAGAGGGATGTCCCAAGGGGTGCAGGCACTGTGGGGAGAGGGGATTGCTTTGGGAGGCCAACAGGTAGAGCTGGGAGAAACCAGTGAACTTTTGAGCTCTGAGCTGTTTCACTGCATCTCAGTACTCTTCTTTTTCCTGGTGCCAGATCACTCTGTGCCTATGTGTACATGCAAAGTAGTGCTTCATCCTGAGCTAATTTATCTTCTCTTTCAGTGGGAGCATTTGGCTCATGGGTTCCTGTCTCAGTGCTGCACTTTGGAAGCTAGTGCTGCCACATTTCAAATTTCTATTTTTATTTTTCCAGATAGTCTCCAATTATTTTCAGGCTTTGCCAAGCATGTAATCTAAAATAACAAAGACGCTGATCCGCCCATGATAGTCAGGGTAAAACCACATGGACCATTTGCCTATGGAGCCAGTGATGCCATGCTGGAGCAGAGCCCAAAACAACCTGCTCAGGATGGGGAGAAGGCTTTGTACGACCCCAGGAGTTCCTCAAGTGGGTCTTTTCTGGTTTTTCAAGCAGGAATTGAAAAGACTCAGCAAAGCTTAGTGAAAATGTAAAGTAAACCTGCTTACCCTTTCACTGGGAAATGCTGAAGGGTTTCATAAACCTTCATTGCTGGTTTCTCGCCGTGTCAGTCCAGCCCTGGGTCCCCGATGTCATCTGAGGTTTGCCTGCTCAGGTCAGGTTTGCAGAGTAGTTACACAGCAGCCCTGATCCCAGTGAATCAGGAGATTGCTCATGGAGATGGGAAGATATTTGGAAAATCTGTCACTCCTCTTCTAGTGCAGGCTCTGGCACAAGGGAGAAATGAGAATTTTGGGAGTCCCTGGCTGACAATATGACCCAAGCAGGGAGCCGTGTGTGTGCTGGCTCTTGGGCAGGGTCTGCTCTACCTCCAGAGTCGTGTATCAAGCCAACATGTTAATTTGGGATTATCAGGAAATCACCTTTTAGCTCCTCAACCTAAGAACTTCCCAAGAGAGCAGATCTTTCCTGGCTCGCTCTACCAGTCCATTTGATTTTTAATTGCACTTACACCACATTGGCAAGGGTTGTTAAGTCCTAAGTGTAAGGAATTCTTGAAATCACCACCTTTCCCTACATGCACATTTGCCTCGCAGTAAACTTTATCTCCTTTCATCAGCCACCCAGAGTTTTTTGACCTACATTAACAGAACAGAAAACACCCAGTGTTGGGGAAACCTGTAATTCCTGGGCTGTGGCCCCACGTTTCAGTACCCAAGCCACAAACCACTACCAGGACTCACTGATCAGTGACCTGCTCACTGCTAAGCTGGGCTGAAAGGGGTGCTGAGACAGGACCAGCTTATGGGTGGGCCAGGGGAGGTCAGGTTAATTGGAAATGCAGACAGGCTGCTCTCAGGGTTAATTCTATCCACTGCTTTCAAAGGGAGATGGAAGCTGCTTTACTTAAACAAAAGCAGGGAGAGGTGGGTGCCAGCCCTGGGGCCACTGCTTGGGCTGCAGGGGCTGGGCAGGGACTGGGGCTCAGCTGAGATGTGGCCACTCGTGACAGTGATGGTCAGTTCACACTGGGTCACCTGCCCACACACCTGCTCGACAAAGAGCAAATCCTGAACCCCGGGCCTTGGGAAGGGCATTGTCCTGGTGCATCAGAGACATTTTGGGGTGAACGTTGCATTTCCCCTTTGCAGGGCCCAGAGTGGAGTCTGGCACAGGGTGGCAGGGACACGGCAGGGACATTTTGGCAGTGGGACATTCCCTCCATCCTCTTGAGGCTGCAAGTCCCACTCCCTTCAGGCTCCTCTCCACTGGCTTTGTGAGGAAAAGCCAGATGGGAGAGTGGTGTGACCTGCAGGGCATTCCCTGGCCAAGGCGATGAGCCCAGCTTTGCTGCCAGTGCCAGGAAAGGGCTTATCCCAAGGAAGGATAATAACAGAGCTTGGGTAAGAAGGGCTGATCTGGTACCCAGCGACAGAGCACTGCTTGCTGCCTAATTAAAATTTCATTAAGTTGGTTCACATCCCTTGATGGAGGTCACAGGCACACCATTGATGTGCTAATGTCTTACTTTTTCCCTTTTTTCTCTCTTTCACCACTATCCATCATCCTCTTAGATAAAGCAGTGCCATTAGGAACTGCTTTCCAGCATCCCCAGATGCAATGGCACTGAAAGAGAGACAGCCTTAATTCATCAGACATATTATCTGTCTCTTATTTTCTCCCTAATTAAAAAAATGCCTTCCTCCCCCCACCTTGAATCAGCTTGGGCATTAACCCCTCTGGTGTTTTAGTGAATACCTGATTAGCTGGAAAGCGGGAAAGTTTCCTGGAAGGCTGGAACTGGCTGAGCTGTGTCCTGGTGCAGGTGGTGCTGAATTTTGCGCACAAGCAGCTAAATTTGGGCTGGGAAGAGGTACCTCTGTGCGTGCTGTGGTGTGGGCAGGTCCCCATCAACCAAATCCTGCATTTGAAGAGGAAGAAATGAGGGCTGGAGTCTTGTTAGCTCCTCTCCTTCTCTGTGTGCCCCAGGCCAAAACATCCCATCTCAGGGGACTGGGACATCACCACCTCCCCGGCAGCATCACCCCTGGGGCAGCATCACCCCTGGGGCAGCATCACCCCTGGGGCTCTGCATTACTGCCAGGCTGGTCTGGGGAGGTTGGACCCACTCCCACCATCCCCATCGGACAACACTGGGCACTTCCCTGCGATCCTGGGCAGGGGATGTCATTTACATGGGAGCCAGGATGAAGGAGAGGGAAGATCAAATAGGAAGGAGAGAGCTCTCAGATGGCGCTGAAAGGAAGGTAATTGCCGGGGAGGAGAAGATGGGGACGTGTGGGATCCTCTTCCTGGCCGTCGCTTTAATGCCGACCAGATGGCGGATGTTTGTTTCTGTGACTTGTGTGGGGGAAATATGAACAAGCTGCGAGGCTCCATCCACCCACCCTGCACAGGCAGCGTCTCCCACCAAGGCAGGAGCCTCTCTGCTGTGCCCAGATGGATATTCCCTGGTTTTACCAAGATCCCTTGCACCTCTGCCCAAGGAGAAGGCACCTGGGTCTTTGCCAGCACTGCTGCAAAACCCAAACCCCCAGTCACCTCTCAGCACCTCCACCCAGCACTGATTTATTTTTTTAACAAGTGTAAAACCTTGGTGTCCGTTTGCTTGCTACCTCTCCAGGTACAGCACTACCCAGTTTAACCCCAAAACATATCCCTATAATGAATATTTAATCACATAGAGCTCTGATGGGAATGGACAGTCTGTAAAAATGGTTTGATTAATTTTCCCGCCTCTTCTCTTACAATTGAATTTACCCTTTTTTTCCAGCTCATTTGGGGTTTCTCAAACATTTTCTGTCTCAACAGATATCCCTAGAAAGCCAGACACGCTGTGACCCTCACTTTTTTTTCCTCACTTAGCCTGTGGCTTTATTTCCTACTTATTTAGGATATTTATTTTCTGCTCCCATTTCCAAAGATGCTTAAGCTTCTGAGCAGGGCTGAAACACCCAAGCAGTCTGTAATGCTTCCCTCAGCCTACAGCTCCGGGTCCATCCAGCATAGCAGCTGTTGGGGGTGGTCAAGTTCCAATTAATAAATTGCATTAATAAACTAATGTGCATCGTGGTGTGACCCAGTTCACAGGATGTGATGGCAGGAGCTTTGCCAACTTGGTTTATCTCTGCCAAGCCAAATACCATGTAACATTTCTCACCATGTAACTCATTGGATTGGACAGATTTTTCTCCCTTCACCCTTTCCACTTTAAGCTGGAAAGCCCATGGATTCTGGTTTCAAAAGATGAGTTAATTTTTAAAAAGTTTTCATTAGGGATATTAAGGAATTCTTCCCAGGACAGTCATTATGTGACATCTTAATTTTTATTTTTTTTTTTTTTGTGAATGAAACAGCATCTTCATCAGATTTATTGCTCAGTGAATGGCACAGCCACGGCTCATGTCAGACCTGTAACATATTAAAATAACGGGCAGGGGATTGTTGTTAATCGGAATTTATTACGCTACATAAAGGCATATTTACAGTCCCACCAGGGGACGATTAATTTGTTTGGGGATAAACAATTAATCTCCCTGGGAGTGGGAGCAGAAAATCTGACATGGTTTTATGTCTTTTCCCTGCGTGGCAGAGGCAGGATTGCTCACAGCCCCAGGCTCCCCCCGGGGGTCTCCCTGGCACCTTCGAGGGTCTGCAGTGCCCAGGGGTGGGCAACTCACCCAGTCCTGCTGCTCCCTGGCAGGATTTGCACTGGGACCTGTGCTCTGTGCTGAGAGGAATGGCCTTTTCCCTGCTCCTGACTGGGCCCTCAGAGGCGGCCTCTGTGCATCCCGGTTTTCCCCCCACTCCAGTCTATTTTTGGGTTTCAGCCTTTGCATCCTGTTTCCTGCATCCTCTCCTTTCCGCTCAAGATGCAACAGGCACAAACAGGGAAGAGAGAGAGGGAGGTGCTACTCAGTGGGAAGGAGAGGGTTTTAGCTGCTGCTGTTTTGTACCTTTGCTCCATGGACTTCTTCAAACTTAAGCCTTGTTATTTTCCTTCAAAAGCGGCTGTTTGACCTGCAGGTGTGACTCCAGGACAGGGCAGGAGCACTTGGAACAGTTCCCAGCTGAAGCCCTGGAAAGGTTGTGACAAAAGGAAAAATTTCTGGTTTCCAAGAGCATATCCAGTGTTTTGGAAGGTGACAACAGCACACACCTTGTGTTCAGGCAGCTCTGGCCATGGTGTCCTGGCATAATGTGGGAACCAGACCAAGAGTGTCAGTGTGCAGCAGGGTCTCTTGCCATCTGCCCTGTGCCGTGCCTTTTCCATTGTCCCCTATGCTGGGACAGCTGTTCCCCTGCCATCCCTTGTGCCCCACATAAACCTGCTCAGTGGCATTGCCCCTTCTGCCCCTAGAGCTGCCCTATGGCCATTTGGTGTTCCAGCATTCCTGGCCCACATGGCAGAAACCAACCCTCACCATTTACCTACTCCCATATGAATTTTCTCACATTTATTCATAAGACTTTAATTCCCTTTGCCAGTGCCTGGTTGGATTTGATGGTTCTTTGGCCACCACTGTGCACATCAGGGTGCTGTGACCCTGGGACTCTACACTCTTGTTTTCAAACCCTCATGGCAGGTCCCAGACCAGACTCAGCTCTTCAGTCAGTGTAACACTCACCTGCACCCATCCTGTTTGTACCCTTTTTCATGTCACTTTGTCCTGAAAAACATCTTCACACCTCTCCGTGGGGATTAGCAGCCCAAGCGGCTCATCGGTTGTTTCCAGCAGGAGTTGTGAGTTTTTAGGGGATTTGTGCTACCACAATTAAGGAAAACCTAGATCATTAAAAATAATATGCTTCACACGAGAGAGGAACCAGCCTGCTTCACAAGACCCCTTTCTGCTGAAAAATTCATCGCTCTAAATTATTAATGGTCCTCGCAAAGGAGGATGGTTTTGCCGGGCGGAAGGTGAAATGCAGATGCCAGGCAGAGTAATCCTTTTTTTGTTATGAATCCTGATTTCCTCACCACGCTGCTGCCTTGGAAGTGGTGGGGAGCAGGGCTGGGGCTGGTCTCCCCACAGGGCCCGACGATGGGAGGGTGTCTGTGCGATGGGGTCACCCATCCCACCCCACCCCAAACCCTGTGGATCCCTCCTGGGGTATGGACAGGGCAGCTGCCCTGTCCCTCATGGGGTGTCTTGACTTTGCAGCACTTCTCTGTTCAGGTCTCAGTGACTTGGAAGGCACAGAGAGGAGCAGATATCCCTGCTGGAACAGCCTCTCCATTTCTCTGGGTAGCTGTTTTCACTGCTGTGCCTTTTACATTGCATGTCAGGAATTAATTTATTGCTGGGACAGCATTTGCATTGCTTGTGCAGTGCATAAATAGGCTATAAATAAGATGCTGATTTCTAATCACTGCACAGCATGGAGGGAAACACACCAGGGTGACAGGATTGTGACCGTGCTCCCCTGGCCTGTCCCTCACCAGAACCAGTGTGTCCCTTTTTGGAGCAGTGGCAGCTCCCAAGCAGGACCCTGCAGGCAGTGGCTGTGCCATCCAGCACCTTCCAGTCCAGCTGCTAAAAACCAGCTCATCAGTGAATAACACAGGTAGATGAGGGCAGTGCCAGACCTGTGGGGCCGCACCACTAGTGGGAGGAGTTTTTCTAGCTGTTTGGAGCCCCCATAGCCAAGGGTAAATCCAATTCCCCTTCCCCCACTCAGCCTGCCTGTGGTTCCTGCAGGTTAACTTTCATTTCGCAGATTATTTACTCCTGATTTGTAACAGCTTTGGTAAGAGGGGCCAAATGGAAACACGTATTGGGTTTGTTTCTGTAGTAACCATGGCTGCCCAAAAGCTCATATATAGGGGGAAAAATAAAGAAGGAAAATTATGCATTCCTAACCAGGATGTCTCAGCAGGACAAGAGGACTGGACGAGGGTGGAAGTGGGACCAAGCTCCTCAGGGCAGCTCCTGCCCAGGTTATAAAAGCAAGGCTTGTCAGGAAGATGGGAATGAGACCTGTCTTAGAGCTGTAGTGCCTGAGGGAGCTGAGGCGGATGTTACTGCAGGGTGACTCACCAAAGCCAGAAACATTCCATGGAATTTGCTGTGAAATGACAGGAGTTGACGTGGCTGCCGCAGTGCTGAGGCCAAGGTGCCCTCATGTTCTTTGATTGCTGCCACGAGCTGGGTGCTGGAGGAGGAGGGTCATGGGTCCTCTCACCATCCCTGGCCACACTGTGCCCCTGGCTGGGCTGGCACGTGGCCCTGATGGTACAGGGACGAGCTCGCTGCCAGTGCCATCCCGTTGGCAGAGGTGGAAACATCACCTGCAATGGGGACAGAAACAGCAATGGTGCAGTGATTGGGCACCTGTACCCAAGGGTGACCTGTTTTGCCATAAATTAGTGCTTTTCTCAGTTTTTACGCTGCTGGAGGTGAGCTGGGCAGGGGGTGGGAGCAGCCTGCTGTATTGGCAGAGCTGCAATGGAACCTTTGCAGCACAGTGGGATCCCCACCGTGGAGCATCAGTGGCAAATCCCCCCTCATTGCCAGTCCTACTGGGGTGGGCACTGACACAAGATTTCACCCTCAGCAGAGGCACCAACACACATCACAGACATCTAATAGCACATGTAATAGCGACATAGCCCCTCATGCATGTCATACATTTGCTATTACCACTGTAGCCCAAGTACTGATAACCCCTGGGACCAGGTGGTGGGTGAACCGTGGGCTCAGACCTAAAGGTGAATTTAAGCAACACAAGGTGGAAGGGAGAAGGTGGGAGAAGTCACCTGTGACAGGGCCCCACTTCCCAGTTGCAGAGGGGGGATTTGTGGGGAGGTGTGGTGGGGACAGGGCGGGGGTGGCTCGCTGACAGCCCCTGTGTCCTTGCAGACGAGCGCCGTGCTGTGTGCGGGCGGCTGTGCCCTGCTGGCCCTCAGCTCCCTGCTGGCCATCGTCGCTGTCCTGCTGCCCGGCGGAGCCTGCGAGCGGCGGGTCTGCACCCTGGCTGGATACATGCAGACAGCAGCAGGCAAGTGACGGGGCCTTGGCTCTTTGGGGTGGGAGGATGGGGTGTCTGTTCACGGAATGTCAGATCTCAGCAGCAAGAGGTGCTTGGAAACCCCAGCCAACACTGGGAGTAAAGCGAATGGCTCTTCAGGAACTGCCTCCTGCATCCACCCTTGTAGAATCTATTCAGTGTCACCTCCCACCACATACACAGGTCTGTGGCAGAGCTGGAGCTGCAGGTCCTGCTCACTGCTCCTGGCTCAGGATCTTGTGTAGGACAGGGGGCTGTGGTGAGTGGTGGAGACCAAGCTGGCTGCTGGCAGGGTGCTACTGCACCTCCTGGGGTCTAGTAGATGTCCCCTGTGAAGTTTGCAGTTCCATTTGGGCCATTTTGTTAATGGTTAGCCTCTGGAGGGATCTTCCTCTCTGAGCTTTACACCTGAGACAGGTGATTGCTCAACCTGTCCTGTATTTCCCCAGCCCCCCCCACCCCTTGATGCTGCATCCACTTATAGTTGCATTGAGTTGCCTGTACCTCTGCCTCAGAGGAGTGCTAGTGCAGAGGGAAGAAGGCAGGCAGCTGGGGAAGATCTGTCCTCCTGCTGCCTTCCCTGTGGAGGGACAAATTCCACCCAAGACCGGTTCTCCACGTCTCTGTGAGCTGAAGTGTTGGACCAAATGACCCCAACTGGACATGAGCCATGACAGGAGATTAAACTGCCCGTTCATGTCTGTGCCCAAGAATAAACTCCTTTCCTTAGAGAAATCCTCAGGGTCAGCCAGGCTTTGTTATCTGCCTGGCAGCATTCAAGCAGCTTTGGGGGGAAATCCTGTTACACGCTCTCCTCACCAGGGCTCATCCCACGGGAGCTGATTTGGGGCAGATGGAGGAGCCATTGCTGCTCCAGCTCAGCCAGGATGGGGGTCCATAGAGGCAGCTGCTTGTGCCTATCCCCATCTCCCAGTTTGGGGGTTCCCATCACCCCTCTGTGCTGGCTGGTGGCTGCAGCCAGTGGGTCCCCTGGGTGCAGGACACTGGTGGAGCCCCATGGCAGCAGGTCCCAGTCCCATCCCGGGGATGGGGTGGGTCACTGGGAGGCGGCTCAGGGTGGCCTTGCAGGTGGCCTCCCATGCAGGGCATAACTGGGATGGAAAGGGGTAACCCCACATTACCTTTGCCTGTGGCGGGGGGACACATTCCTGCTGCGTCTGGCTCTGCAACAAGACAAGCAGTTACAAAGCAAGGGATTAGGAAGAGTCCCTGGAAAGGAAAGCGACTGTGGCAGATAAATACAAATGAGGCGCTCCGAGGGGTGCTGGTAATATTGAACAGGCTGTAAATAAACTGTAGGCTCTAAGCGTTATTGACAAATGAAAATTTACTGGGTACGTTCGAGCAAGCTAATGGGCTGCTTTAAACCCTGGCAGTGCCTTGCTAAGCATTTTGTCATGTGCTTTTTAATTTTGTGCACTGTGGATTAATTCCCATTCAGAGCCAGGCAGCCCTGAGTCAACAGAATTAAACGGTTTAATGTATTTGGATTCAGAAATGCTGCCCCTCCATAATTTCTCTCCCTGTTTTCTACTCCCTCCCCAGGAGGAAGCTCTTCAATAGAAATCAGTTGTAGGTGACAGGGAGAGAAACTGTTCCCCAAAAATTACATTATCTCAGAGAAAAACGGGGATTTTAGGATAGGTGAATTTATATGGGAGAGAAGGAAAGCAGAGCAAGCCCATGAGGTTTGGTAGAGCAGCTTTCTGATGGTGGGGGGTGTGCAACTCTGCCAGGGGAACCCCACGAGATGCTGGCAGAGCACTGGGAAGGAGGAGGGGACCGTATTTCTCCCAAACACCAGGTTTCCCTGAAGCACATCAGGTCCTACAGGGACCTTTCCTTTGCCTGCCCTGACACTTCCCCCCCCAAATCCACATTTTGCTCCCATTTTCCCATCCCAAAAATCCAACTTGAGGTATTTTGCAGAGCACCAAAGACACAAGTAAATAAGCTTAATACTATAAAACATTGACTCGGGCAATGTGATGTCCTAATAAAGAGCCAGGTGCATTGAGCCAGGAGCATGAAACAGGCCATAAAGTGCATGAGCAGAGGCACCAGCAGAGCCAGAATCAGTTCCCACAGGCTCTGCACTGTCTCAGACAGATGCCCTGAGCTGCACTTGCATAAATCCAAGTGCAGAGGCCAAGGATTGATTCCTGTTTGGTTCAGGAATCAATCCTGAGAACAGCCCCACAGCAAGGGCAGTCAAGCTACAGCTTTAACACTTTCTTGCAGTTTTTTTAGAGATCCAAGTTGTTCCTTTTCCAGCCCCAGAAGGAAGGAAGATAGAAACCTCACACAGACAGAGCAGAGCACTAATTGCAGATGCAGACATGCCATCAGGGTTCAGAGCTGGGCTAATTGCCACCATAAGTTGAACACATGATTCCTGATGCCTGGCATCCACCCCATAGAAAATAAACAAACCAACATCTCCACGCAAATGGCAAGAGGATGAGCCCTGATGAAAGAGTAAAGGAGCAACAGGGAAAGGGGGAAGGATAAAAGAACATTTGCTCAGCTCTCACAAAGTCAAAGCTGCTCCTGAGAGATTAGAGATGGGGCTCACTCCCCATTTGTGATGTCAGCTCACTGAAATTAAATTTCTGGGAGGATCCCTCCTCCCAAACCTGCAGAGGAGCCCCTCCAAAGAGGTTGGGGCAGCCAAGGTGGCCCATTTATGTGGGTCAGTGGGCTGCCCCAGTCCCCAGCTGCAGCCCATCACTGCTGATGGAGAGGGGTCCTGGGGCCAAGCCCAGGGACAAGGAGGGCAAATGGGGGCACAGCTGAAATCCTGCCACAGTCATTCTTTAGCAAAAGCCTCTTTGCTGGGATTTTAAAAATAGGAGTTAATTCCAGGGAGAAATGTCTCCTGCTGTATGGGGCTGTATGGGGAGGGCAGAGAATGTTCTCCAGAGCTGGTTGTTCCTGTACAACCTCTCTGGTGGCTTCCAGGCCAAGAGCCTGTGGTTTATAGCTGGACATTACAGCTCATCTTTGCAAAGCTCTTTGACCAGATTTCGAGTGACTGCCGGTGACTGCTCCTTCCAGTGGCTGGAAGGAATATGGGACCATCCCGGTGTTTTAGGCACTGGCTTCACCCACGGGACCTGTCAGTGATGCCCTGGGGAGCCCCAAGGCTCTGCTCCGAGCTGTCACAGCCCACACAGCCCCAGCAGTGTCACTGAGTTAGAGGAGTGTCCTGAAGGCTGGGGCTGCCGGGAGTCAGGGCAGCCTCTGCCACATTTCCAGCATGGACCGTGTCCGCTCCCTGGCCCAGGAGCATCTGCACTCCCATGGGAATGGCCTCTCCAAGGGAGTGAGGCTCTCTACTGTGACAACTGAGATTGTAACTGAGGCTGAGTAAACCCCACCAAACGGCAAATCTGGGCAGCTTTCTGCTTTTGGGGCTGGTGGGACTAAGGGAAGGATTATGGGTCTTCTGTAGGATTAAGCTGCTGGTGACTATTCTAGCACTGGAGTTGATTCCATCTGCTGCTTAAGAAAGGCAACAAGTCTTCATAGTCAGGACTAGCAGCCTCCCTCCAAGGCTCCTTTTGCTACCCTAAAAGCCTCAATAAACCCAGGATTGTGTTGCTTTTCCAAAGCTTTTCATCACGTGCTTTTCAGGCAAAGGGCTCTTCCTTTGCTGGCCAGGGTGGCTGGTCCAACACCTCAGCTGCCCCACGGCTGCTGATCCATTCCCTGGTCTCCAAGAAGTGCCTGGGAAGTGGCCTGACAGGAGAGGGGTGCAGAGCTTTGCACCTTGTTGAGGGCACAGGCACAGTCAAGCATGAGGAAGCCTTCGGGGAGAGTTTTGCTTTCACCCCACACTGCTCTCTGTCTGATCCTACCACCATCAACTCACTGCTCATGATAAACCCAGTGCTGAGGGCAAATGATCCTGACCTGCCTTTCTAGGGCTCTTTTGGTTTCAAAGAGCAATTTCCCAGCATTGCTACGACAGAATCAGAACAGTCACAGAACTCCAGCAAGACAGGCAGAAAGCCCCAGTTATGCAATTCCCTCATTTAGCCACGCTGTAATCCCAAATTTCATGGCAGTCTCAAGAGCTTCTTCCTGCAAAATTTGATTGCATTCTGCAGCCAAGACCTCTCTTGCTGGCAGCAACATGATGGTATTATAGAGGTGGCCTCAGCTTTTGGTCAGTTAAGCAGCAAAGCAAAATGGTCTCACAGGAGACCCTGTGATTTTTGAAGTAGCCTGTGATTACTTCAGGCACTGATCACCCAGTAAGAATACATAAAGAGGGAGAATTGTCAATTTTCAGATCAGTGTGAACCGTTTAAATGTACTAAGTCCCAAGGACTGAAAAGCAACCTAGATGAAAGCGGCTCGTGCCATTCCCAAGGGAGAGCTGCGAGGTGGGAGGTTTGCCCCAGTTTTGGGATGCAGGCACGTGCTAGGGGGAGCACAGCCATGGCAGGTCCCTGGCCAGGACACTGTCCCAGTGTCTGTGTCAGTGTCATTTAGGAAGGCAGTGTGGTCCTCCCCCCTCAGTGTGCCTTCCATCCTGCCCTGCATCTCAGCCTACCTTTGGGATCGATGGTGCCCTGTTTTTCCCAGCGTGTGCAGGCTCTGAATGGCAAACAGCACCGTCATCCACATCCATATTGATTCCTCAGACTCCTATCGATCAGCCTGGTGACATACAGGTAATGTGTAATTAGTAACTTAGATAAAAACAGCACCAGGAGGGTGTACAACCAAGCTGCCTGGATACTCTGACCTCTGCTAGTGTAGCCACAGAGCAGCAAATAGAGGGGTCGTGGCTGCCTGGTAATTACTGACCTGCCATTAGGAGCCTGTGAAACTCTTCCCTTCCCTGCAGCCATCACTCCCATGCAAAGTCTTGGATCCCTCCCCAAGAAATCATGATTGCAATAACAGCCAGGGGAAGGCACCTCCCCTGAAGTGCCTTCCAGTGCACTGAAGGACCTGTGGCACCAGCAGCTCTCGGGAGTGTTGGATAGCAATGTCCAAGGATGCTGCAGGGGCCACCGGGCAGTGGGGACACGCCCAGCGCTCCCGGGTGCAGCAGTGCCACAGCACGGCCCCGCAGCACCTCTGTGAGGGGACATAAATGGAGCAGACACGTCCCCAGGGCAGGGGACAGTTTGGGGTTGGGAGGCCAGCGCTGCGACCGACACTAAAAATGTTCAGGGATGGCTGAGGAGACGAGGGTGGGAGCCGTTCCCAGGCTGTGCAGCCTTTCCCACCCCCTCCCTCCCAGCCCAGGCCAGGCCGACCCACAGCCGGTTTCCTGATGGACGTGTCTGTGGCTGCGGCGGCTCCAGAGCCCCATCCTGTTGAAGCTGAGGGTTGTTTGTCACAAGACATCCCTGGGATTGGGAAGAGGAACTTGGCAGCGGAGGCAGGGGGGAAGCAGAGCCCTGTTGTCCAGGCACTGATTTGATTTAAAATCACCCAAAGCTTCCCCCATCCCTGTTTAAAAATAGCGTCGTGGCTTTTATCGCAGGGCCCACGTGGTCCCTCTTCTTGTGGCAGTCTTGAAAAACATGCTCAGTCCTGATGCAAGGATGGTGCTGGATGTGTTCAATCATCAGAGCAGCATTAAAAAAATGTTGCCATAAAGCTGTTTCCAGCCATTTAGGAAAGGTCCCTCAAAACTGCAAGATTTGGCTAAGCAAGAGAAGAATTGCCAAAAATAAGCCAAGTCCAGCCTTGGTGCAAGGTGCTTGGGCAGGAAGGTAAAACACAGCAGCATAAAAGCTGAGTGGTGATGAATCCAGCTCCTGAGTTGCAAGGGCAGCTCTTCTGTTCTCCCCTTGTCTTGACTCACATTGTCAGGAGCCCTGGTTCCTTCCCTGGTGCAAGGCTTTCCTCCCTGCTTGCTTTAATTACATTAGCAAAGTCAAAAAACTGCCTCTGACACATTATTATTCAGTCAGTGGGCTCTCACTAATTCCTGACACAATTAATGAATATCTGAGGGTAGGAGCCTGCTGCCAGGGTGCTGGAGAGGGGCTCAGTCACAGTCCAGCCCAGCCCAGCCCAAGAGGTGCTTCACTCCAGCACCAGCATTGCTTAAACCTGAGCTACCTGTGCTCTCATTTTTTCACTTTCACTGATACAAGTCCTCTTCTGCTGCATTTTTGCCAATTTCCTCCAGAATTCAACTCAGTAAAAGCCATGACCATCCTGGGCCTTGTGCCAGTGTGTCCTGGGGCAGGGACTGCTCTGAACCCTGTGGACATGCTGGGCACCAGTGCCAAAGCCTAGATGTGACTCCACCAGTCTCTGCATGTTTAAGAATTTGTTGAACTCCCATGATAAAACCAACAATTGACTTTTTTCCCACCTGCCTTCCCACTGGGAGATGTCACCTGGGAGGATGTTGCAGGGGAGCAAAATGAACCTGTCAGATCTGCAGATTGACAAGTACGAAAGTGGAACCACAAACATCGACTCAACTTCAGCCTTTCACTGGAGGAAACCTTTACTTTGCTGAAACAGTAATTTCTCTGTGCTCACTTCAGTGCATACATTCAAGTGACAGAACATCTTGATTTGAGAACCATTTCCCGATTTTACTTCCAAACCCTAAAATCTTCACTGGAGAGCCAGACCATTAAACAACAGCAGCAAAAGGGAGAGGGGCTGGCAGCTCTGCTCATGGCCAGGCTCCCTGCCACAGGTTGAGTGTAGATCAGCCTTCCCCAGGGTTTAAGCTCATTTCATACAAGGTGCAGAGCTGCTGAAGGAGAAAGGGCTGTGCTGTACAGCTGAGCCCTGCTCCACCCTGGTGAGGGAGGTAGGGATTAATTACCAGCTGACTTCTGAACATTTTTCTTTCCTCTGCTTAGTTCTCAAACTACGCTTTGATTTTCTCCAGGTGCTTTTTGGCATAAACCTACTGACTTGGTGCCTTTGCCCTCCCTCCAGGCTGGGGACTCAGCAGTGTATTTCTCAGTAGCCTTATTTAGAGATTAAACCAGCCATGTCCTTTCATTGGTTCCTTGGAGAGGGGCAATACATTTCCAGTGGCATCAGTGACAGAAGCAATATCCTTTCATTGCTATCATTGGAAAAGAGCAGCTTCATACTGCAAGAAAGAACTATTTCACTTGTACAAAACATATTTTCTATTCCTTTAAACCTGGGGAAATCCTTGTCATATTAATATGTGGCTGAATTGCATCTCTTTCAACAGCTCTCCTAGGGATTTGAGCTTAGACCAGTTATTGCACTTGGATGCAGTAGCAGTCCATAAAAAAAGTATATTTTGTAAATAATAACAGTGCTTTGTTATAAATGGAAACTACAAATAACAGGTGCCACTAGGACTCCAACTCTGCTGCCCCTGAGGAAATACAAGCCCCAAGGAGCCCAGCACTGTGCCAGAGCCACGTGCTTCAGATGGGAAAATCCATATTTCATTTGCTTCTCTTTGCCTTTGACTCTCCATTCAGTTTACAGGCAGTTCCTTCTTCTACAACACATGACATTTACTCTCATTCTAACATTTTCAAGGCACCAGGATGGAGCTCAGGGGTGTTACTGGAACAGCCATACCTTTCCAAGCAGGGCCACTCATGAATTTTTGGCAAGAGGTGGCTTTAATAATGGTTTTAATGAAGCTTAACTGTGCTTGTTGGTTGTTGCAGGACAGAACCACTGCAGGAGAGGGTCCCTCTTCCCTTGCAAGTTCAGGTTGCATAACAAACCAGATCCAAGGCTTCAGAGCATTTATCATTTAATAGCTGTGATTAGTGGCTGCCCAGCCTGCTGGTTGCATGCCCACAGTGCTAAGAATCCTGTCTCCTGACCTCCTTGCTATGTGATTATGTGTTCAGCTGATGTTTCTCTTCATAAACAGTTTGACTTTTCTCTCTCTCCCACCTTGCTTGGCTCATGTTTGTTGGCTGGGAAGATGGACACAGATCCCTGCAAACTCCCTCCAGGACCCCCTGAATATCGTCCCTTGCTGTGGGGAGGGAGCTCATAGGCGAATTTCTCCATCCTGAAGCAACTGTGTAGAGATCTTGTCATCTTTATTCACTCATCCATCTGGACTGAGTGAAGGGTGTAATGCTGAGAAAAAAAGCCTCCCTGTCCTCTCTGATGCTGACAGGGAGCTCAGGGCTGTCAGGAGCAGTTTGCAGTTCAGTCTGCTCAAGGGTGCATTTCAGGGAGCTTTGGTCAACCCCAGTTCTCACCTCTCTCTGTCTGCCAACGTTGGAAGTTTTTGGCCTATTGAGATGTTCTAAACCAATATGAGCAGCAAGAAGACAGCCTTGGTGGGAGACATAAATGTTTGCTGGGCTGGTTGGATCCTGGCTGTAATTTAACAGGCATCTGAACATACAAGGAGCTCTCAGGACGCAGAGCAGGACAGTTTATAGAGGTGCCATCAGCTCATACACTTGTCTGCCAGCACCAAGATTCTGCCCTAAAACCTGAAGGTTGATGTCAATTTAGGGTGAAGAATTGACCCCCCAAGTGCCTCAAAATCTGTGTTTCTGAGATTAGGTGAAGCTCATGTTATCTGTAGATCCACCTTGGAAGTCATTATGGGGCCTTGCTATTCCTGTACAGCAGAGATGTGTTGGCCCATCCCTGGTGAGCACGGTGATAAATCTGGGTGGCAGCTGCTCACTGTCCTTTGTGTCACAGATTGCCCAGGCAGTTAAAAACAGCTGTGTCCATGTATCAGCCAGTCTGGCTTTAGGAGCAGGGATGCACAGAGAGAGGATTTCTCTGAGAACAGAACCAAAATGAGTCTTTCCAACACCTACAGCCCTGGTTGACCGTGAGGGTCCCAGCTGACTGTGGGCTCCTGGCTGCCTGGGTGGGACACAGAGCATTTCAGTCCTGCTTTGCTTGCTCTGAAGAGCATTGGACTTCAGCATCTTGGATAACTGGAGGTGGTGCTGGGTGAGTTAGGGAGCCAGCCCTGGGAGCAGACACAGGAGCAGTGGCTCTGGGCCAGATCCACTTCCTTTTTGCACAGCCTGACAATGCAGGAAGTCTGGCAGAGGTCTCAGTCCCCGTGTGGACACGTAGCACAGCTCCCAGACGAGCGCTGGCTCGGAAATGTTTTGCTCTGCCTTCCTGTCAGGATCTGTGCTGAGTCGGATTCCTGTGCTGGTGAGGAACAGATCTGCTCAGAGGAGAAATTTACCCTGCATGGAGTGTAAACACAGATGGAAACATGGTGAAGTCCTTTTCAAAGTCAAGGGAATAAATTTGTTTAAAAGACTGAACATCTGGTGGAGCACTGGCCCTGGAAAGGACAGTGGTGCTAAGGGATGGCTGCCTGGGGAGACAGGATAGGGGAAGTGTCTAAGTGGGGAAATTACCCCAAAGAGCATCAGAAGGCTCCAGAAAGGACAAAAGGCTCCTTTTTGTATCTTTTTGTAAGACTATTTTATTTTTTTTGAGTCCTATGAATTGCATCCAAGGCACTTTGGATGGAACAAGTGGGTAGGGATTTTCCCCTGAACTAATCTCATCTGACCTCTCTAAGGCAGTGTGAGAGGGATGGAGTGCCGTGTGTCCTCCAGCTGCTGGGATAAAGTAGGATTTTGCTCCCTGGTTAGGCAGCAATCACTGTGCTGCAGAAGCTGCTCTGTGCATTGCCCTGGAAGGGCAGACCTGGCATGTTCACACCACTGGGAATCAACTTCATGCTGATAGTTTGGTTGGCTCTTCTGGTCCAAGCCAGCACATTTTCTATGCTCTGTAGTAGCAGCACTCCTGGACAAAGGCCTTGGTCCTTCAGGGCTTTATTCACTTGCCTAACCAGAAAGCTAAAAACATGGATAAGCCTTGGATGGCTGAGGAAATGTTAAATTGTGTTCTCCTCCCAGCCGTAACCTTGGCAGAAGCACAGTTCTGGCTGCTAAAGCCCATAAAATGAACAGCCCCTGTTACTCCTGATAGGGGCATAAAATTATAATTACTTGAAGAGTGACTTATGATGCAGTGAAACAAGGATCTTCTCCTTTTTGATTGAATTACTCAGTGGTATTCCTAAAAGACTGGAAGCAGATGGTGAGCTCTGGCCAGGCATTTAACAGCCTGAGTTACAGCGTGGAGGGGATGGGGCTGAGCAAAGCTGCAACACGCTGCTCCTGCCTTTCTGCTTGCTTTGGGTCACCATCAGGGTGTATTCCCTGGGAAAGGAGAGGCTGGAGCTTGGGGCAGGGTGATTTGCAGCAATGGATGGAGATGTGGAGCATGTCCAGTAGCAGAGGGCTTATTTTGCAGCTCAGCAAGACAAAAAGACAGCACAGAAAGACAAAAATACTGTTTCCTAAACCCAGTGCTGCCTTTGGTCCCAGGCAGGCACATTGTGACAGCAATCCCAGTGTGTGTGTTGTGTCAGGACCCTGTGGACCTGGAAGGTGGCAACTGCCCTCCTGTCATGCAGGAGAGCTCCCCATCCCTCCAGGCCCAGGAGGAGGAAGGCAGACAGTCCCCTGGGCTGGGGTGGAACAACCACTGCTGTATAATTGCTGCCTCACTGCTCCTCCTGCCCCCATATATCTTCAGCACATCAATAAAATCAAACAGACTATTAGCAGCACATCCTGTTATCAGCCATGGATGTGTGTGCTGGGCATCGGGCAGCCATGCAACCTGCATTTTATGAAGTGAGCTGCTCATACCACTGCTGGGGCTGCAGCAATGATCACACCCCCTCGCAGCTGGGCCACATCACGGCTTTTATGAGCTACCCTACATCAAAGGCCCTTTCTTCTTAAAGATAAATTAACAATTCTCTCCCTTTCTTTTTATTTAATGGCATAACAGCCAGCTGATTGCTAGGTGAGACACAAATCTTGTTGCCAAGTTGTGCCTACTGCATTGTCTATTTGATTATTTTTATTGAATAAGCAAATGTTCTCTCAGAGCTCTGAAGTCCTTACGAGGGAGACTCATTTTCTGCTACCGTGATCTCTTTGTCACGGCTGGGTGATGTATGAAAAGGAATTGCAAATAGCTGTTTACAGCAAGCAAAGTCATGGAACAGCCCACTTCAATTTCTGCTATCTGTCGGAGACGGTTGTTGGTGATGGTCAAAATTAATTAAGCAGGAAGGAAGAGAGCAGGGAGGCAGTATGCATCCAGTTCTGACATTGAAATATTAATGGTGAGCTAATCAAGAAAGACTATCTATGAATATCTAATCAGCTCACAGTTTGCATTTTTACTGATGTGGTGAACTTCTGGGCAACAGCCCTTCACAGGAGGTGTTGGGAGCAGAGGTGGGCTGGCTGCTGCCTGATCACTCTATCTGGGAATAAACAAAGAGCTCGTGTCTGTGACAGGGGCTGAGGGACATTTTCCTTTTATGTCTCACATCCCTGCTGCCCCTGGATGCTGCTGTATCCTTCCTGCTGTCACCTACAGCAGCCAGGTCAGAAGGTCCAGCCCCAGTGGCATCCCCAGTGCTGTGCTCCTTCCTCCCCAGTGCCAGCGGGCACTTGGAGGGCTCAGCTCTTCCAGGATTGAGCTGCAGCATCTGCCCACATCCAGGTCTTGGGCAAAAGCTCAAAACATTGTACCTTGAACACACCACCTCTCCTGCTCACTCCATGCCTGGTACAGGCACCCCATGGGAGGCAGTGGCTGTGTTCCTGTCTCTCCTGCCGGTGTTTCACTGTTTCTAAGTTGAGTTTCCAAGCTTTTTAGGGGAAAACAGAAGGTGATGGTTGTGCTGCCAGGCCAGGGTGCACTGCAGACCCCCCCTGCCCAGTGCCTGCTCGGGCCACAGTGGGGGCTCAAACCACTTCCTCTGACCCACCACAAAAGCATGGAAAAACAGGAGGCAACAACCTCGTGGCAAAGCTGGGCTGATTCTAATCAAAGCCACAAAAGTAAACGTCACCTTTAGGTGCCAGGAGTCATCAAGCATCATTGCTCTCTTCAGCATCAGCATAATGAGGGCTGTGGCTTTGGAGATTTGTATTGCTGTGTTTCTGCAAACAGTTCCCTCCGCTAACCTCTTGGAAATTGGATTTTGTGAGGCTGAGCAGTTTGTGTGCAGCAGATAGCAGCAGGACTGATAAGCAGAAACCTGTTTACACACTCACTCATATCTAGTGCTGTGATTGGGCAGGGGACTGCCTGGATTACTTTTTTACTTTTTTTTCTTTAAAAAACACTATCAAATGTAATCCTTGTGGTTGAATGTTTTGCTGCTTAACAGGGTGAAATCTGAACTGGGCAGTTTTAACAGGCAACAAACACGAAAATAACTTCATGTGAAGCAAAAGGATGAAGGTAATAAGTAAATCTTAAATGATAACGAGGAAGAATTGAGTGATCAGGAGGGAAGAGCATACCTGCACTCTCCTGTGGGAGGTGGTACTTCACGTGTTGCCAAGGGAGTAGGAACTGGACACAATCCCAAATGAGAGTCCTGGCACGTCGCTCTGACAGCCACAAGAACTTCCTGGGAAAGGAAAAGGAAAGCAGATGGCATCAGTTAAGAATGTTGGAAGGTACCAGGGATGCCCAGGGAAGTGGTGGAGCCTGGTGGCTGCATCCTCTGTCTGTGGGAGTGAGAAGCCCCCCTGCTGCAGCTGCGTGGGCACTGCCATGCCCAGCTCCAGCTCCTGGGGCTGGCAGTGGAGTGAGCAGCAGGATTTCTCCAGGAGGGGCACTCTGCAACGTGCTGCTCTCCATTGCTCCAATATAACCCAAATCTGTCAGCCTTTAGGGCTTGCTGAGAAGGTCATCTGTGAGCACAGCTAATTATTTCAAGCAAAGCAGCAGGATAATGCCACTAACCTGCTCCTGGGAGCTGGGCTCTGCCCTGTGCCTTGGCTCTGTGGCTGCACACAAGCTGCAGGGAATTACGGATGCATGGGGGTGTATAAGCTCACAGATATAAACAGATCCCACTGGCATGTACCTGGAGCACTGAGAGGGAAATTCACATTTTTCATAGCAGATTCATTCAGTTGTCATGAAAATGCTGTTCAAGCCAAAAGGCAGAATCTCTTCTTTCTGCCATTTAATTTTCTCTAATCTGCTCTTGACATTTATTGAAAGGAGTGTTTTACGCACATCAAAGCCAAAGATTTCAAAACATCACAGGGAAAAAAACTTAAGGTCAGTCCAAGCAAGGATATGGTGGCTAACACAGGATGAAAGACTCCAGTTTCTGCAAGGAAGGTCTGTGCAAAACAAGAGGTCACAGTGATCTGTGCTCTGAGGGCACTTCCTTTGCACCTCTGGCAGTGGCTGCAAGTGGTGGGCTCTGCATGTTGACACCTTCAGCAATGAACGGGTCAAAAGTAAAAATGCCTCAATAACATGACTTTTCAGGAGCCTCTTCACCTGGGTGAAGTGTTTCCCATGGCTCTGCCCAGTGTTGGCCCAACTCACTTTGCCTGGGCAGACTGAGCTCTCCTTTGCTTCACTCTCCATCAGGGAGTGGTGCTGCTTCTCACAGGATTAAACGAGCCAAAAGACTTGACAAACTGAACGAGCTGCTGAAAGTGCATCCAGTAGAGGGGCCAATCCTGCAAGATGCCTCTGGATGTGTTGAGCACCCCGAACGCCAAAAACTGAAGAAAGAGAAATGTAAAAGATCCTCAGAAAACTTCTGCATTTAGTTCATTTTACATGGGTAGAGGTAACAAGCTGCCACAGGTTAATTTATAGCTTGGTTGTCTGCTGATTGCAAAGTACACATTTCCAGCCAGCCATCATGAGTAAATCACTTCCCCACCAGCTCTCTTGGCATATAAAAGAAATTTCTCCCTTCGCAACATTTAAAAAAAAAAAATCCTAATATGTTATACACTCCATGACTTTATAGCATTTTTAATATTTAAAAGGCTAGAATCTATAACCTCAACCTTTAACAAATGTACAGTAATGTGATAACAAATTTGCCTCGAACAGCTGCTATCTTGGTACCAACTGGCATGAGGAGGAGGGAAGTAATTGGCTTGTTTTCAGATAATTACCATAATTGTAGTGACACCATTTGGATCACATCTAACTGCGTTCCTGCTGCAAGTTGGATAATTTAATAATTGGCAGAATTTAGACTGACAGTAAAGGTAAAGTCAGCATATGGTGGAGAAATCAGCAGGCACCTCCCCACACTGCTGCTACAGGCTCTGCTGCTCTTGCTGTGAAGTTTAGCAAAATCCTTAGATTTTGCTGCTTTCCTTAAGGCCTGTGACTGCTTCACATCTTTGCTCCTTTTCTGATGCTTGACCTGATGGGACCAGTTTTGCACCTCTTGAACTTTTTGATTTGAGATAAATCCCTTTGGCTCAGTCCTGCCCAAATTACTCCTTCCTTTGTGCACCGAGTATTTTTAGCTGTCCTAGTTGTGCTGGGGGCTGGTCAGAGCTCTGCCATGAGAGGGGATTAAACCACAGTCAGGTGCTCCCAGGCAGCAGCCAAATGCCTTTCCCAGAGGTTGGACCCAGATTCCCCTGGAGCAGGGCTCATTCCCCTGGCTGAGCCCTGCAGAGCTGCAGGGGTGCTGGGGAGTGGAGCACATTGGGCTCAGCACGATGCACTGGAGGGAACTTGTCCCTTCCGTGTCTTCTTGTGCTTTCTGCTCGTGGCCAGTGTGAGGGGGATCAGCATCTCCTGTACCTCCAGTCCTGAGCTGCCCAGCCAGAGTCCCAGGAGCAGGGGGCTGCAAGGTAAGGCCAGGAGGTGGCTGAGGCTACTGGGGAAAGACAAGGTCTGTCAGATCAGCTGGTTGGTTTTGTCAGGAATTGCAAACTGGAGCGGAGCACTGAGCTACTGCCCTGCAGGGTTGGTACAAGTGCAGAGAGCTTTCCTGTCTGTGGCCCTGCCCTGCCTCCATTTCTGCAGTGCAGAGGTGACAGCTGAGAGTGCCCAAGGAGGGGGGGGGGTTGCTGGTGCTTCTCTAGTCCCCAGATGAGATAGGGCATATTTCCTGATTTTGCTTCTGCGACTCCTCTGCTTTCCCTGAGCTGAACCCAGATGCCTCTGTCAGGTGACAGAGGGGTCAAGGAAGCTGTACCAGACCTGCAGGGTGAGCAGACTTAATGCTCATTGGGATGGAGCAGAGTGCTTCCCATCCATACCAGTTGTGGGCAGAACTGGGCACAGCCACGATTTGGGCTGGACCAGGCCCTCCAGCCCTTGTGGATTTTCAATAGGTCCAAATGGGTGAGGACACTGCTGAAACACCACCAGTTTTAGGTCTGCAGTGCAGCCCAGGCCTGGAGTTCTGGGGGTGCCCAGCTCATCACAGGCTGGGGAGGACTTTGGCACAGAGCAGGCAAAGGGCTCGTCTCTAACAGACCTGTCTGCCAGGGTGGGGTTGACGGGCTCCATCCCAGCCTGGGCACACAAGCAACACTTGCACCAGAGGGAGGGAAGGCAGATGAGTAAAAAAAGCAAATCCTCAGGCTCTGGAGGGTGGTCTCCAGTGTAGCAGTGGGAAGGAGTGGGAGCATGTGCTGCACCAGGATTGCCCTGCTGGGGCTCCATGTCCAGGAGCAGATGCAGGAACTGCAGGGTAACAGTTTCCTTGCAGCATTCCCTCCCCCTCTGTGATTTATTGCTGCCAGGAGGCTGTGCATGTGGAGGTGGCATAAATCTCACCCAAAAGAGAGAGAAGGAGGAAATTTGCATTCGCTTCCTCACTGGCATATTGAATGCAGCTTTCCAGCTCACTGCTGAAACCCTGAGCAGGTCGCAGGCAGAAGGCTGGGGCACTGCCCTCAATATCAAACAGGGGCTTCCTTCCCTGCTGGAAGCTCCCACAGCCAGCAAGGAGCAGCTCCCCCACTCAGCCCAATTATCCCTAGATTAATTTCTATCCACTCCTATTTATATTCCATGGTATCAGCCTACATAATTCTGTAGTGTTTGCAGGCTTCAAGCATTCACTGTGCTCCCCTCTGCTGATCTGCCAGCAGCCACAAACCCTTTCCTCATTCAGGCCTTCCAATCCTCCTAGAGATTCATGCTGCATCTCACCCACCTCCCTCCAAGTTGCTTCCATCCTCCTCCTCCTCCTTTGTAATGCCTCCAAAGCACTCCCTGGGCTGACAGTCAGTGTGCTGGAGTTAAAATCCTGCAAGCTGCTGCTGGAGGCTACAGAAAGCACTTAGATTAGTCAGAGCATGGTCATGCAGCTGCAATGGGTCTGGATGTCCTGCCACAAGCAGCCAGCCTGGACCAAGAGGCTTTTAAATAACAGAGCACCAGCAAGCAGAAAAGCCTGGCAATTGTCTCTGAGATTGCATTTTAACTGGAAGTCCATCAGTGTTTTCATATGTCAACAGTAAACTGGATACAAGGCAAAGCAAAAAAATACAAAAGAGCAAGGAGGAAGCAAGGTGGATAAAACATATTAATCAGAGGGAAAAGTTGGAGGCAGTCTGCAAACCTCCCCTCCTGCAGGGGCTGACGGCTGTAAATAGCATATTGAAGCCATGGAGGAAGTAAAGAATTAATTACAGTGCCAAGACCCAATCCCACTTCCAGCCACAGGCAGCATTTATTAAGATCTCACTGAGGCAGGAAAGATTGAACAAGGGACTCAGGGGACTACGAAGGGGAAAAGAATTAATCAGTTTGTCTCCGGAGACAGGAGAAGTCAGATTAAATAAAAACTGGAAGTAAAATGAAGGGAGGAAAAAGCTGGTTGGAAACATGGACCCGTTCAAAGGAGAAACTCTGGAGCCACAGCTGGGAGCAATCCCAGGGGCTCCAATCTCCCACTACAGAAGCTGGAGAGCTTTGAGGACAAAGGTTGAAAGTTTGCCTTGACTTTTTAAGAGGTTTAGAAATGTCCCTTTTGCCCCCCCGCTTCCTTTGCCTGGCAGCCATGCAGGACATCCCCAACTCTCCCACCTCTGATCCTTGCTCCAGTGCATCACCAACGTGCTCCCTTTCCCTGTGCCCCACTGTCACTGGGATCTGAGAGCTATTCCCCAGCCTGCTGAAATTCCCTGGTAGCCAAAGGTTACAGCAAGGGAAGCTGCACCCAGCTGAATAGAAGTCCAAAGCCCACAACCGACACCCTAAAAGGAACATTTTTGTCCCTGCCTGTTGTCAGCCCAGTGTTTTCCATCACAATAACATTCAATTATTTCCCTTCTGAAGTGTACAACATTTTCTTCCCTCTTTTGTGCCACTGCTTTTCTGCTTGTCCCTCTGGGAAAGGTCACTGGGCTTCCACATTCCTGCTGTGTAATGAGCTGTGACAAACGCTGGTGACCAGTGCTGGGGTCACAGAGTTTCAGAGGGCGTTGAACGCCAGCATCACAGGGAGGGAGCCTGTCCCCAGCCTGTCAATGGGTGTCCCATTGCCAATCTCCTTCCCTTCCATGCAGCCCAGTGGCAGAAACTCAATGGAAGCCAGATTAGAGACTCTCTTCTTATTCTTCCCCCTCGAAAATCCCAAGCCTGATGCACAGTCATAAATAAAAACTTCTCACT